AATAATATCATTATCGATAATGTTTTTGCTTATAATGTTGTTGTTCAAATAACGAAACAAGATGAGGATCTTGAACCAAGATTTGTCGATGAATGTAGACAGAGAAATGATTGGCCAAAAATAAAAAGATGTTATCCAGGCAGAATTAACTTTACTTGAAAAATGTGAGGTATTCAGACATATAGTTCGAACACCTGAAGGAATAAAGCCAGTGGAATATAAATGGATTTTTTGTGCGAAAACAAAATTATAAAAATGAAGTCGTTAGATATAAAACACGACTTATGGCACAAGGATTTTCGCAAAGACCTGGCATTGATTATATGGTGACATATTCTCCTGTGGTGGATGCAATCACCTTCGGGCATCTTATAAATCTGGCAGTCCATGAAAAACTTGATATGCGTCTGATGGATGTTGTCACAGACTATTTGTATGGCACATTAGACAATGAAATTTATATGAAAATTCCTGAAGGGTTTAAAGTTCCTGAAGCTAATAAAAGTTTTCGGGAAACTTGTTCAATAAAGCTTCAAAAATTCTTATACGGATTGAAACAATTAGGGCGAATGTGGTATAATCGCCTGAGCGAGTATTTGTTGAAAGAAGGGTATAAGAATGATCCAATTTGTCCTTTTGTATTTATAAGAAGGTCTGGATCTGAATTTGTTATAATCGCTGTGTATGTTGATGATCTAAATATCATTTGAACTCTTGGGGAACTTCCAAAAGCAATAGACTATTTGAAAAAAGAATTTGAAATGAAAGATATTGGAAAGACAAAATTTTGTCTTGGTATACAAATTGAGCATATGAAAGATGGAACTGTTGTCCATCAATCAACTTATACCGAAAAGATCCTAAAGAATTTTTATATGGATAAAGCATATCCATTGAGTATCACGATGATTGTGAGATCAATTGATATAAATAAAGATCGATTCCGATCTCATGAAAATGATGGAGAGCTTCTTGGTGAGGAAACTCCATATCTTAGTGCAATTGGGGCACTAATGTATCTTACAAATAATATTCGACCAAATATAACTTTTGCAGTAAATTTATTAGCAAGAATTAGTTCCTTTACAACAACAAGACACTGGAATGGTGTTAAGCATATTTTTAGATACCTCCGAGGGACAATTGTATGAGATTATTTTATTCTTATGAATCCGATGTACAGTTGATTGGTTATGCATATGCAGGTTATTTGTCTGACCCACATAAAGCTTGATCTCAAACAGGCTATCTATTTACTTGTGGAGTTACATCTATTTCATGGCGTTCAACAAAACAAACTTTAGCTGCTACATCTTTCAATCATGCAGAGATAATAGCTATTCATGAAGCTAGTCGAGAATGTGTATGGTTGAGATCAGTGACTCAACATATTCAACAATTGTGTGGTCTTTCTTTCAAAACGAAGATTCCAACGATATTGTATGAAGACAATGCTGCTTGTACAACTCAACTTAAAGGAGGATATATCAAAAGAGACAGAACAAAGCATATTTCACCAAAGTTCTTTTTCACACACGATCTTTAGCAAAATGGTGAGATAGATGTTCAATAACTCCGTTCAAGTGACAATCTAGCAGATTTATTCACTAAGGCATTGCCAGCATCAATATTTTAGAAGCTGAGACATAAAATTGGAATGCGTCGTCTCCGAGATATCAAATAAAGCTTTCATCAGGGGGTGTATAATACGCGTTATACTCTTTTTTCCTTAACCAAGGTTTTGTCCCAAATGGGTTTTCCTGGTAAGGTTTTTAATGAGGCAATACTCAATGCGTATTACAAGATGTGTGTACTCCTTTTCCTTCACTGGGCTTTTTCCCACTGGATTTTTTCTAGTAAGATTTTAACGAGACACATTATCTTTCAAATGAACATCCAAGGGGGAGTATTATAAATAAAGTGAATGTATATGGATGTTCATTTAATCCATCCATACATTCTATACAATGTACTACTTGGATAGATGTACCTATTAATTCCTAGGATGTATCTAGTGAGTTTTGGGTGTATCTTGTATAATATAAATAGGATATTCTTTGCCTATGGAAGAACACACAAGAAACACACTTGAATAAGATAACTTCAATATTCTCCTCCTATACGTCTTGTCTTTATTACTATATTGTTTTATTTTGCTCTCATTTCTTAACAATAGTAACACCAAAGTGTCTTATTTATGCAGTTTCTCCCTTACGAGTTTATTCGGATGAAATGACACCATATAACCACTTTTAGTTTTTCTCTTTACAACACAGCCACACTTTACAAAGTATTTCAAAATTTAGCCATTTCGCTGCTATCTTCTTAGATTGTGCTTTTTCTTCTTCTGCAACAATTCTGCTTCTTCTTTGTTCGAAAACAAACCAATTTACCAATCTTCACAATGTCAATTATCTGTTCTTCAGTTAGTTCCACAAGCATTTTTTATTATCGTCCAAAGTACCTTCTCCAAAGTTGTTCTTTATAAGTGGTTTAAGAAGTCTAAGGTCAAAACTTGAAATAAAAGTTTTTCAAGTTTATTAATTGTAAAATCAAACATTTATACTATATTTATCCTATTTTTAATCCAATAATAAACCAAATATCTATTAAAAAAATTTATCTACTAAATAATCTCGTTATTATTTAATCCTTGTATGATAAACTCAAGACTATAATCTAATGAATATATATTTGAATAAATGCCACAATGTCAGTAGTGGAAAAACATATTACTATAATAGATTAATAACCTAGAATTTTTTATTTTTTTTTTGTAATTACATAGATTTATTGTGATATTAACACTTCTAGCTATGCCGTGCGGATATCAAACAAGAATATACTGTTTTCGTCCTTTTTTCTCCCTACAAAAGGAAGCAGACAAAGACAAATCCTATTTATTTAGAAAGAAAAATAGTGTCTATGCATATAAAAGCAATGAATGAGAAAAATTGACAGCTTAGAAATGTACATAAATATCAAATGAAGACATCAACAAAAATATGTTTCAAGACTCGGTAAGTACTTAAAATTAAGGAAAAGTGCTTTTAGCAATAATTTTCTTTTACTTATTTAATAGAAGTAATTATGTAATTATATTTAATCTCGACGCAGCCTTTACGACTGAATATAATATAAGTATTGATTAACTATTTATTCAACTATGCTGTGTGTGTATTCGAATTTCGAAGATAGTAGTAGGGGCTGATCGAGCCCTTTGGTACTGGGTTCAACCTAAACCTAATATTTTGATGGGAAGTATAAATTTATGTATAAAAATTTATTAATATTATTATAAATAGTAATACATAACTTTAAAAATACAATAGGTCGCAACGTTCCCAGATTTTAATCCAGCAAGTTTGGTGTATTAAGTAAACCATTTTTTTTCCTATATGAACTTTTGCGTTAGATCAGGTTGGTTGAATGGAAGCTGGGGTTGGTGTAACTAAATATTCTTATTACTAAGACTCGAGAACAATAAAGAAATCAAGAAATTGGCCCCAGAAAGCTAATAGGTTAGGAAACAAGGAGTTGTCACGATAGATATAAATTAAATAAATAAATGAAGGACCATAGACAATCTGTATTGCCTAAGCTTTATTTTGCTAAATATTCTCAAAGGCAAACCTAACAATACAAATGGGATCGGATAGAATCGTTCCACTCTTAATCAAAGTCCAGATATTTCGAATTTGATCTATGTTAACGAAAAAATATTACTAGTAAGGAGTGCTTTTCCTTTAAAGGGCTTTATGCAACCTGTATCTAATCAGAGACTTAGTCAGTACTTGAAGTTTATAGGTTCGAGAATCTAATCAGTTTAAGTTATTTGTATCTAAATTATTAAATTGTATATATTCAATAAATTTCTTAAGAGAAATACATAATTTGGACAAAACTATTGAGTTTGGCCTCAACCGTAAATTGTACTCTAGCTCCGCCCTTATATCTAGCTTAATCGAGACTTTTGAGAACTTATCTTTTAACTCAAAACTCATAACGTCTAAATTAAATTTGAATATGCTAATAAATACACCATTCACAAAATCATATTTGAAAAGGCACCCTGTTTCTAATCATGTCTACTTTTGCTTCCACCAAACATTCAAGTGGGTCTAAAGCGACAGAACTGCCTGTTCCAAAGTGACAATACATTTTAATTTTAAGTACAAATAGGCACAAATAATATTCTGTATATTTTAACATCTTGCTACTTGATGATTGGACGGCTGCTTTTTCCTCTAGCAAAATAGCATATGTATATCCAATTTCAAAGAAACTAGAAAAAATGTAACCTCTTGAGTATTCTTAGCAAGAAATTCAAGAGGTTATAACTAAGAAGACAAATACTAACATTTTGAACTTTTTAGGTATATAATAGGAAAAAAATTAAGAAGAGCAATACTGGTCATGATTTTAGAAAAGTTTATAAGACAAACACCACCAAGGATTATGATAAAATAAATAAGATCCCGCTTTCCCTAATCGAAAACTTCGAGTTCAAACCCTAAAATGGAGAAACTTTTGATAGAAAGCTTTTCTTTTTGTGGGCTCTAAGCGACGTGAATTTATTAACCGAGCTAGTAACTTTTGAAGAAGAATTAACCTAAATAGTAGTCAACCTAACCGCTTGAACTAAAAATTGACGGCGTANGTATATATATATAACTGTGTATAATCTATGTATATCGGCTAAAAAAGATAAACATGAATCTGTCCGATTATTTGTGTGAAGATCTCTATTTGAAATGTATAAAGAAAAAAAAATCATTTATATATGACAAGCTTATAGACTTGTTTTATCAATGGGAAATTTTACCGAACCCCCAATGTTAGTCAAATGACAGCCAACCCTGAACTAACGTAACTATACCAAATTAATGCTTATAAGACTTTTTCCAACTTTTCCTTTCCCAATTTCCATCAACCTTATTTTTCAAAGAGTACACACTGCACACCAAGATTCAATTAAAAAATACACCTCTTTTCTCACTCTTTCTACTTCATATATAAAAGAAAATATAGTCCTCATTTTTAATAGGCCATAGCCAAACTTTTCTTCTAAACTCTCTCTCTTAAAATCCACAACACCAAAATTTATAGACAAAAAAATCCTAGATATGAACCGTGGAGAGATCATAATTATTTATAATGTTATTTTGGTTATACTCTCAATTATTATCACAATTCTTGTTATCCTCCTCTTCATTTGTTGCAAGAAAAAACCAATCAAAGCTGAAGAAACTCTTCCAACAAAACAAAGTGCATCTTCTTATTCTTTAATGGATATTCATACAGCTACAGATGGATTCAACTATCGTAGAATCATCGGTCAAGGCCGAATAGGAAGCGTCTACGCCGCCATATTACCAAACGGAGAACAAGTAGCAGTGAAAAGAATACATCCAAGTTTAGTTTTAAGCAATGCTGGCTTAGGTTTTTCGTCGATAATGAAATGGCTTTCTTTAGTTGATCATCCGAATATCGTGTCAATTTTAGGGTTTTCTGAAGCTCCAGGTGAAAGAATTGTTGTTATGGAATATGAAGGTATGTTAAGTTTGGATTTTTATTTACATCAAAATTATGATGGTGTAGCTCTATTGGATTGGAGTTGTAGGTTAAGAATTGCTGCAAATGTTGCTAAGGGTATAGAATATTTGCATGAAGTTATGGCACCTAATATAATACATGGTTGTATTAAACCATCAAATATATTAATAGATGTTAAGTTTTGTGCTAGGGTTTGTGACTATGGTTTGTATTTTTTTTTGGGAAATAACTATGAAAGGAAATTAGGGTTAATGGGGTATGTAGATGATGAATATTGGATTGAAAAAAAAGGTGGTTCAAAGGAAAGTGATGTGTATGGATTAGGTGTGGTTTTGTTGGAGTTGTTGAGTGGAAGAAGAAATAGTGATAATCAAGAAAATTTGCTTGTGAAATGGGCATTGCCTTTGATTAAAGAAATGAAGTTTAGTGAATTTTTGGACCCAAGACTTGTTATACCAAGTGATATTAGACCTATTGTTAGATTGGCTAAAGTTGCTTTAGCTTGTGTTGGAAATTCAAGAAAAAGTAGACCTTCAATTGTTCAAGTTGCTGCTATTTTGACTAGCTTAGAAGTTGGATTAAGCTTCTGAGTCAGAGTAAAAAATATAATATATATTGTCATCAGAGGCGGGTTCGGGATTTGAAGATCGGAGTTACTCATTACTAATATATCACTATATTCTAAAGGCAGATGTATATACATCGAATTTTTGTCGAACTTTAGGAGTGCTGGTGACCCCTCTTGGTATAGCATATGTCCACCTCTATTTGTCATGCTTACATAGTTGGATTAAGCTTCTGAGTCAGTGTAATTATATTTTTATTAGAGGCGTATTTGACCCATGATTGGCGTATTTGACCCATGATTTGAAGGTTGTAGGTGCTCATTACGAATATATCATTATATTCTAAAGACAGATGCATATATACATCGACTTTTTATCGAATTTTACGGGTATCGATGACCCATCTCGTTATAACATATGGTCGCCTCTGATTGTCATGCTTACATAGTGGCGTTTGGTTGAAATGTCTGAGTTTTTGATATTTCCACATTTTATTTTTGAATTTTGGACAAAAAACAATAGTGGTGTTTATTTGGTTGAAATGTCTGAGTTTTTAAAAACTTTTTCAGCTTTTGTTAAAAAATTGAAAAAGACTTCCGAATTTAATTTTCTACCAAACACCATTAGAGAAATTAGTTTTCAGTTTTTCGAAAAATTGCGAAGAAAAAACCACACTGAAAGTTTTTTTAAATAAACTGAGATAATTATTAAAAGACTTGAAAAACTGAATTGAACATTTTGAGGATAAAAATAACTTTTTTGCAAGATTTAGTTCAATCGCTCTCAGTAAGAAACTCAAAAACTAATTTTGCACTCTTACAAAACTCCAAACTTCAAACAAAGGCCAGCAAATATTAATCAAGTCAAAGCAATAGCCAATCTACAGACGACTTGTGGTTTGGCAATTAATTGGAAATGTTGGTGGACTTTGACCTTGAAAACCGTAAATTGTAATGCTAACCGTGAGACTTATAAGTCACGGGTTTGAATTGTAAAAGCAGTCGCTAATGCTAGCATTACGATATGCTATTTACATCGCACCTCTTGAAGTGCGGTCTTTCTTCGGATCCTGTATATTAGGGGATGTTTTGTGCACCGATTTATCCTTGTTGTTGCTAGAGGAAAAATCAAATTAATTGGGCATATGCTTTTGGACGGTTGTTTTTTTCTTGTTTCCCAATCGGTGTTCGGTACCCGTATTGGAGCCCGATTATATCTGCATTCGCGCTGCGTAGGACCCCATTCGAGAGGAAGCAGTCCCTACCAAGGAGCAATCTCATTCACTGCACCACATCCTTTGTAGTTTATATGTCAATATATGATGGTGTCTAATTGATTTATTGTTATTTTGTTTGTGGACCAAGGAATCCTTCTTTAATTGTTAGGGGGGGGCCTTTCTTTTCTTTTTTTCTTTATTTGAGTGACCTTTTTTGTTGTCTCCTGTATATTATAATGTAGCAACGCTTTTTAGCTTGTCATTTCTTAATCATTTTTTTTGTCATTTCTTGATCATTTACTCATTTTGGATGAATCAATAGATATGCAAAAATTGGGTGATGTTTTTAAAATTAGACTATACTGTTTCTCATAAATTCGGGAATCTTGTCGCCTACCTTTGAATAATTTCAATCCTCAGATATAATAAATGTTATATATGTCCTATGTATATAAATTACTTTGTTTTATGAATGTGCTTTTCTAGTGTCGTCTTCATGATTATGTGTTTATGGAATTTCCATCTACTAGCTCTTTTTACAAAAAGATTGTTTCATTTCTTATGATGTAAGATATACATTCATTAAAACTAATTTTATGTGAGTTATAATTAGTACTATTTTGAGGAATTTTCAGAAATCACTATTATTTAGTTTCTATTAACTTCTTATAACTATCGTAAATATAATTACTTTCTATAGCTACTAGTATTTAGTTGTTACGCGACTATATTTGATATATTCGCGCTGCTGTATTCATGAATACAGTAGCGGAATTCGCCTAAAAATAGGGGAGTCCAGCTGTGCAACTATATTCACTATATTCGTGCTATTGTATTCATGAATACAGTAGCGAAATTCGCCTAAAAATAGGAGAATCCAGCTGTTTAACAACATAAAAAAGATCAATTAGTCTGTATCACTCCTAATTTAACTCAACAAAATTAATTCTATATAAGATTTCATTACTACTATGTTGTATTCCATGTATTCGTGCGACTGTATTTATAGATACAATGAGGTAATCCGCCTAAAAAATAGGGATTACAACAGTTTAATTTTGTATTTCATGTATTCGCGCGACTGTATTTATAAATACGGTGAGATAATCTGCATGTATACATTGTATTCGATTCACTGTATTCAATTCAACTGTATTCAAACAACAAAAAATTACAAAACATAGTATATATATTCCGCTGTATTACAGACCTTCGGAATACATAAATACAGACGAAAAAATAATGTATTTATACAAAAATATAATGTATTTATACACAATACAATGTATTTGTATCATTATATGTAACTAAATAGCAAAGAAGAGAAGAAAGTTCGCCGGAGATAACATTTTCCGATCAAGCAAAATACTGTATGCATTATATTAAAATTAAAAATAGAGATGAACAAAAACTTGGACCTCAAATCTTCTCCGGTGTAGCCATGGCCAGATCTGTTCGCCTAAGAGATGAGCCAATAGTAGATGATGAAGCCAACAATTCTGACGACGACCACGATGATGATCCCGACAATTCTGCTGATTTGAGCGAGAAGAGAGGATTGAGAATCTTGATGAGAGAGAGAAGGAAGAGAGAGAGAAAGAAAGAACATAATTGGCGTATTTGAAACCTCAACGGTAAGTATAAATAAATATCTATTTTGCTATAAAACAAAAAAGTTAGCTATAAGTAATAATATTTTGAAAGTGTTTTGGTTTATAATAGATAGGGTGAAATAATTTACTATAGGTGGTAAAATTTCCTATTATTTTCATGTTACAATACTAAAAGTAGAAAGCCTTCCTTTTTGTTATTTTTGAATAATCATTGAACGGGCCACTGAATGCTCGAACCCGAAACATCTGTGGGTCCCTTCTGAAAGCCCACTTGTCAGATATTACATCGTATACCTTATATTATATGTAAGTTTTTTCTTCCTTTTCTTCTCTTTTCTTTTTCTTAAAAAATATGATCGCATAAGGGGGGAGGGACGATACTGAGAATTAAACACACACCTCTTAAGTGCTAGATTATAACAGAAAGATTATTTTGCAGGATGATCAATAAGGAAAAGACTATTATGCAGTGATTAATATTGAAAAGTTTGTTATATATAAATTATTATTTTTGAGTCACGCTGGAGGGAAGTGTGAAAAGATCCTCCTAATTTGGGAGGGTTTAAAAAAAATGATAAAAGGGTATTTTTATCTTTGAACCGTGTAATATTTGTCCTCATTGCTAATACACGAGTGTTATTTTACATTTTATGTCGCATCCTAGATTCTGCATCATGAGATTCTTTTCGGAAGTTGGGGCTCAACACCTTTTCTCTATTTGGGCTTTCGGAATTATACTGCTAACAATTAGTTCTGGAATCGTAATTTTGAGTAAAAATGGCGTGTGGTAGTCACTATTGAATGTGATATTTATTTTTTATCCAGCAATTTTAATGTTAAGCAAAAATAGCTACTACTCTATTAAAATTAATATGAAAAGATATTTTTACCTTTTCTTCCATTGCTTTTCTTCTCAAACCCTCGCTTCTCTCTGAACTTGGAATTCCGGTTGAGATGGCTTCGTCGTCGGCAACAAAATTCGAAAGCTTTTCTCAAAGTTGAAATTCTCAGTTCTCAGTTTTATCCTCGGAGCCCCTGTGCTCTCATTTCATTTGCAGGGGCGAAACTTCTGTAGAATCTCGCTCAACTGCTACTGGAGAAGAGGAGCATTACTAAAGCTATTTGCTTGAGAGTTCATAACGGGCATCCAAAGAAGCATCTAGACTACGCATTGTGTTATTTTACAAATTATAAGTTCCTAACATGAGTTAACTGCAACTGCAACTATGACTAATTTGACTAATTATGAATAATAAACATCCATGTGGAATCACGTGTCAAAGAGTCAGATGAAAATGTTACAAGAATAGAAATTAAGGACATGTAGTCCTTAACTTAGAGTTCCAAGTTCAAAAGTTAAGGACACTTGGTCCTGAACTTTGAGTCCCAAGTTCAAAAGTTAAGGACAATAGGTCCTGAAGTCCTGAACTTAGACTAACAAGCCCAAAAGTTAAGGACAATAGGTCCTGAACTTAGGCTAAGAAGCCCAAAAGTTAAGGACAATAGGTCCTGAACTTACAGTTACAAGTTCAAAAGTTAAGGACAATAGGTCCTGAAAACTTAGACTAACAAGCTCAAAAGTTAAGGACAATAGGTCATGAACTTAGGCTAGGAATAAACCCAAAAGTTAAGGACAATAGGTCCTGAACATAGACTAACAAGCTCAAAAGTTAAGGACACTTGGTCCTAAACTTACAGTTACAAGTTCAAAAGTTAAGGACATGTAGTCCCGAAGTCCTGAAGTTAAGTTCAAAAGTTAAGGGCATGTAGTCCTGAACTTAGAGTTCCAAGTTCAAAAGTTAAGGACATGTAGTCCTGAAGTCCTGAACTTAGAGTTACAAGTTCAAAAGTTAAGGACATGTAGTCCCGAAGTTATGTTCAAAAGTTAAGGACATGAGCAGAAAGGTATTTTCGTCCGGGCAGTTAAGGACATTTTAAACAATGGCTTAAAAGTAAATATATGTATTAGTAGCTAACCGTGCACTTCCCCCTAATTTTGAGGGTATGATCTGGATAAATTGGATTAGGCCATATAGTGACTTTTAGCTTAAGCCTTTTGGGTGAGGGTCCAAATTACGTGAGAAATGTATATTTTTGGTCATTTTTCAAAAGAAAAAATTTCACTTTATACCCATTAATTCCAAACTATTTACCATTTAATGTCCAGGTCCAAACTATTTACTACTCCTACTCATGCGGCCCAAACTATTTACCCGATTATTCATTTGGATTTTAGGATTTTGGGAAAATCATAGTATAGCAATTTGGGTGCGCTAGAAACTAATTTTTACATCTGGGTGTTGTCCAAACCGGTTTGTTTCAAGAAATTGAGGACTAAATCGGGATTTTTTAAGGATTTCCATAAAGTTACCTTGGAAGATGTAGAGGTTGCTTCTTCTTTTGAGAATCCTAGAGAATTAACCAGATATTTTACCAAGAAATGTGTCGGGGGAGGAGCTGGGGTTGCACTTGTTGAGTAGAAATATTGAGATACAACTATTGCTTTGCCTCTGAGTCTGACGAGCATATCATTTATCTATTGTTGTTAAGGATTTTGCAAGAGTAGAAAATACTTCTACCATTAACAGAAGAGTTGATGGGTTTAACTGTTTAGATATTTATTAGTTTGAAAAAAATGGGTCTTAAACTGCGAAATTTTTAGCTTAAAATCGAAGAAGAACACAACTACCCAATAGTATACTGCTATGATATATAATATGTTGTAGGAGTATATAGCTAGAATGCAACAGTATACTATTATAGTTTACAATATGCTATAACGGTATATTGTAATAATCGATGAATAACACATTTACCTAACGGTATACCGCTACAATATACAATGTACTATAGGAGTATATAGTTATACTGCAACAATATACTATTATAGTATACAATACATTATTATAGTATACTGTAATAATATATAATATACGAAAAAGGTCCAAATATGCCCGTGAACTATGCGAAATAGGACAAATATGTCCGTCGTTATTACTTTGGCCCAAATATGTCTAAATCGTCCAATAGTTGTGCAAATTTGCCATTATTAGACGGAAACCATATTTTCTTCTTTTTTAATCTATTGATACCAAACCCGACTTAAAAACACCCGACCCGACCCACCCTAATTCTAAAAGACCCAAACATAATCCCCTAAAACAGACGCTCCCCAGCCCTAAAACAAATGCTCATATTCCTTCTGTCATCTTCTTCCTAAATCCCAACTAGGGTTCTTCTTCTTTCTCCTCTTTCTTTTTTTTATCCTTTAATTTTTCAATCCAACCAGTTGTTTCCTTCTTGTTTGATCCACTCACTTTCCTCTCTTACTTCTTTCATTTGCTTTGAAATGTCGGAATGTTCGAGTTCTTCAAATAGCCGTCGAAGGATGTGTGGATGTGGAGTTGCTGCACTCCATCTCACATCGCGGACTGAAATGAATTTCGGAAGATGCTTTTTCAAGTGTCATAAACCTACATGATGTAAGTTTTCTATTTTTTTTCTAATTAATGCTTATTCCGACAGATTTGGATCAATGATTTTGGAATATTTGTAATCGATTTTTTTATGATGTTAATGTTTTATTTGCAGAAAACTGGATGTGGTTATTGGAAATGGGAAGACGATGAATTTCCACCAAGAGCTATTGTTGTCATCAACAAATTGAAAAGGGAAAAGGATGCTCTTCTTAAAGAAAGACTTGGAAACAGGGGGGATAAATTATTTCTTATGTTTCTGGGTTTCATTATTGGATTTGTGGTTAGCTTCATGTTTTGAGGGAAGACTTGAAAATATGGTTGTAATTATTTATGGTTGTTTTAGTTGTATAATTTATTTGCATTGTATTGTAATGGTTGGATGAAAATGATTGTAATATGCAGTTTATTATTTCTGATGTAATGGTTGAAAATATGGTTGTAATTTAAATGCATTGTAATGCTATGGTAGTAATTCGTTAGCAACATTTGTGTGAACATTCTGGTGTTATATAATTGCTCAGTAACATTATGATCAGGGAGTAATATGTGATCCATATAATTGCAAAAGTTTGCCTCAACTATGAGGAGGATTGCAAAAGTTTGCCTTTCTCTCAGTGCCTCAACTAATGTTGACCAACTTCTATCTTTTGTATCATCTAGTCCTAACTGTCCATTTGCACCTTTTCCCCATGTGTAAACGTTTCCCCTTGATGTTAGCACAACAACATGATAAGATCCTGAGGATATCTCTGTAACAAATTCCTCTAAGTTTTCCTTGCACAAGCACTAATGATTTGTCTTTGGATTATGGATTTCCCAGTTGACCGTGCATTGCACTTCCCATGGTAAAAACTTTTTCTGCGCTAGATAGTGCAGTAGTTAGGGTGCTTGCGTAGGAAACAACTTCCTTTATCCCCATTGCCCCATGTAAACAGCTTCCTAGCTGGATTATTGAATTTAAGACGATCAACAATGATTTCCACTACTACAATTGTATGCATACTGGAATAACCACATATTTACATAATACCAATACTGCTAAATGATTTCCACTACTGCAGCAATAATACCAATACTGCTGAATAACCACATGGTTATGGTAGCAACAATGCTGAATAACCACATATTTACATAGCCACATTGGAATATAGTTAAACAAACAAACATTCATATCCACCAAACCAAGATAACATGCATATCAGTTAAACCAACATAAAATTCACCAAAAATCAATCGTTTTGTGCATAATAGTTATCCATAAACTAAGTTCCTTAAGTTTTTCACAAAAATAATTAGCCAACTTATGCTAAATTTCAGCATTTGGTACAGGGACTCCTTCCCCATTTGGCTTCATCTTCTTTTTCTTTTTTCTTACTTCAGCTTGGAGCTGGCTAAGTGTAACTGCAGCTTTCCTCTTCCAGGTTGCCTTAGTTGGTGAGTAAGGCAAGTTTGTCGGCATAGAAACTCCATCTGCCCCCCCAGTAAATTGAATCCTTCTACTCCCAGTTGGTAGTTTTGCTTTCAGCCTTCTTTCCTTAAGTATTGATTGTGACTCAAAGATGATTTGTGGCCTCAACACTGGATCTTCCTCATCACCAATATCTGGACCATAGGCTTGTGATTGTTGTATTGTGACTTGAGAAGAGTAATCAGATTGTTGTGTTGTGACTTGAGAAGAGTAATCAGATTGTTGTGTTTGTACTTCAGTTTTAGATTGTTTTGTTTCCTCATCGCCAATATCTGGACCATCTTTGCTCTGTCAACCAAAGAATGAGTTAATAAGAAATTGTCATACTTTAAATTTCCATTATAAATTTGTTTTACCTTGAAACAAGTCCTAGAATTGTGGTTCTCTCCACCATATTTGTTGCATGTCATCACAGTTCCTTTCCTTGAATAACTCCACTCCCTTGCTTGCTTCATCAGGTTCTCTATTTCTCTTTACCTTGGGTCTGCCCACAGTCTTGGCAATTTCAGGTGGATCCATTGCTTGGCTAAGTTCAATTTTCCAGAATTTTATACCCCTAACTGGTTGAAACGTGTGCTTGTAAGTCAAGGAATATGCTTCTTTGCTATAGTACCAATGTATTTGTTCCTTAGTATCACCCTTTCAAAAGTAAGAAATAACACTAATTAGATAACTTGGAAAATATGAGCTTAAGTGAGAAAACTAACTTAAAATATTGCATACCCTATCATATATTATAGCTTTGATAGCATGGGGGCAAGGGATACCAGAAAGTTACCATAATCTACAAGTGCATTTTTTATGTTCAAGATCCACAGTATGTCTATCATCACCTTCTGTGATTTCGTATCCGAAGTCACCATTAAACTCAACCTTGCAATAATGAGAAATTGCCCTATAGTCATTGTATAGAATCAAATCACTTGGACTATAGTCACCATTCCATTTTCTGACAAAATAGATATAAAGAGTCAAATACAAGGAGTGTAAAATAGAAGCAGAACAGTTCATTATAACTAGCCATTACCTAATTTTATCTTCATTGATAGCCAACAAATTCATAACCTTTATTCTAATATCCTCGAGCATCTTGATAATTGGCATATGTCTAGCTTCAAGAATCTATGCATTAAACGACTCGGTGAAATTATTATCAACCATCATGTTTTTACATTGAGTGTCAAAATATGCTCTATACCAAGATTGTGGAGGATAATGTAGGAGATCTTTGGCAGCAGAGGCATCTTCATCCTCACATAGCTCTCCCATCGTTTTAGTTGATCTTTGAAATCTTCTTCATAAGTGCTCCAGGTACACCACCACAACAACTTCTTCATATGTCCACTTCTCCACTTCTTCTGCTAATTTTCCTCAATATGTCTTACGCAATACCTATGATGAGCTTTAGGAAGTATATTATGCACAACATCAATTAACCCCTATGATAAAACAGGAACAAACAATCATAAAAGGTAAAATATATAAGTGTATACAAGAGAATAATATAAATCAGAGATGAAAGTTGTAGTGTTTACCTTTTGCATATCTGAGATGAAAGTCACTCCTTGTCCATCATTTAGCTCCAGAGAAAGCTTCAAACACTCTAAAAACCAACCCCAACTCCTGGCAGTTTCCTTGTCTACCACAACCCATGCAAGAGGATAAAATTGGTTCATACAATCTTGACCAATAGCCACTACCAACTGACCCTTAAATCTACCCTTACGAAAGGTACCATCCAGCCCAATCAGTGGTCTTAAGTCACTTTTCCACCCATTTTTCAATGCATTGAAGCATATGTACATCCTTAAGAACTTTCTTTTCCCTTCTTCAAGAGCATTCTTTGATAAATTGATCACAAAATCACTGCGCGGATTAGATTGTCTTACTTTTTGTCCATAAGCCTCGAGTTTGTTAGAGTCATCAACAAAACTGCTCTCCAACTTCTTAAGAGCCAAACCCTTGGCCCTTTTGAGCTTACTTTTGGACATATTTAAATCAAAATCACTCTCCAACTCAGCTTTCATATCCTATAACTTGTACTTAGAACTGTATTGCACCTTTCTCTTAAAAAATTGGGCCAAAGTATTTTGATCAGCCCAAGCATTTTTGAAAGATGGATCACATGTATGTTAATCTTTCAATGTTTTGATTCTAATGGTAGGACACTTCTTATCATTTGAAATATACAGTCTAAAAGGGCAGCCGTCAACACACTTGTAACTAACCCTAGTTGTATCAGTTTTGTGCAATTTCAACCCTTTTTTATTTACTAGTGCATAAAAGTTTACTGCCCTTCTAGCTTCTACAATATCCTTAAATGTCATACCTACCTCTAACTCCTTAAAATGTTCCAACTTATCAGTTACAACCATCTTCTTTTCTTTGACAATACCATCAAGTTCTATAGAATCATCCTCAAAACAATCTGATTCATCAAAGTCACTTCCCCCAAGACTATGTTCGCATTCAGAAGCTACATCAATGTCTATAGAATATGCCTCTGTATGATGAGTAATATTTTGAGCAAATACCTTTAAGTCAGATTCATCAACAACAAAGAAATTAATCACCTTGAAGTCTTTAGAAAACAAGCACTGAAGAGTCTTCACACCTTCGTCATCAGCTACCAAGTAGTACCTTCCCGAAGGTCCAGTCACTAAAAGTTATTCGACAGAGCTAAACCCTAACTTTTTTGTAAACTCTTCACAGATAAAATCATATTTAACAAGATAAGAGACATAACCAGACAAAGTGTGCACTGACATCTTGTTATATTCTATCTCAGGGGAAAAGACCCAGTTACCCCCATAGTGAAACACCAAATCCACTTTATCAATCATCTTCAATGGACTTCACATGTAAAGATATAGAAAAAGGGACCAAAAAGGGACCACGTCAGTATATATAAATAGTCATATTCAAAACGCAGACCAAAAAACAAATAGCAAATCCTGTCCAAGATTTTTAAATTAATGTATTAAAATACAAAAGGCCCCAACCACCCGACAAAACCATCAATCCGCCCAAATTAACTGATTGTATTTTGTTCCTTAGTGTATTAAAATACAAAAAGATATCAGAAACAATATCTCTCTTTAATTGAGTCTAACAAAGCATAGTTTGTCCCTACATATGAAACACGTAAGAAAAAACTCGAAATCCCATATACAACACACAAAGAAAGAATAAAGTAGTCATACCTTAGTCAAAAGATGGAAAACCCTAGCTTGTCATACTCAAAGATGGAAACCCTAGACAGCCTGTTTAGGAAGAAGAAGACGGAAGGAAGAAAATGGGCGGTTTAGGAAGAAGATGGACGGTTTAGGAAGAAGAAGAGAGAAGATGGGTGCACCCGTCTGTTTGGAAAGGGGCGATACAGTGCTGGTTGTGTTTGGGTCTTTTAGAATTAGGGTCGGTCAGGTCGGGTCGGTTGTTTTTAAGTCGGGTTTGGTATCAGTAAATTAAAAAAAAAATGGTTTCCGTCTAATAATGGCAAATTTGCACAACTATTGGATGGTTTGGACATATTTGGGCCAAACTAATAATGACAGACATATTTGTCCTATTTCGCATAGTTCACGGGCATATTTGGACCTTTTTCGTATAATATATTGTAATAGTATGCTGTAATAGTATATAATATACTATAATAGTATACTTATTACCCGTAAATTCACTTACCATTTCTCTTTTAATTTGCTTTAAGCTTTTACTCAGCGTGAGGGGCAAATTGAAAATGCAAAAAATAAATAAATTATAGTACGCTATATAATGTAACGGTATACTCTTACAATTAGATCCTTTTAGAATTTTTTAAAATTTTTATTGACAACTGATATTATTTCAGTTTAATAATTGAATTAATTTTTTTATCTCTTTGAGTACAATTGTATACCTTGTTGGTATAGCTATATACTATACTGGTATCATATATTAGTTAATATTTTTTTTATTGTATTAGCAACATTTAATTGGTACACAATTTGATTTTTCTTTAGTAATAATATA